TTTTAAAAAATTACACACAGAAAATTAGGATTCAAACACGAATATAACGGGAGAATGTGTGAGTTTTTGTTTACAAGTGTTCAATATGACTTCCTTTCGTTACACGTATGATATCATTGCGATATGAAAGTTCTTGCCAAACACGGTGTAATGTATCTCTGGTAATTGTTCGTACAGCATCACAAATGCGTTTTTTTTTCAGTTCATTTACACTTGTAGGTAAAGGTGGTACAAAGACAAGATCCATCACAAATCCCCAAAGGAAGAAGTCGCATGGGGTTAAGTCGGGTGATCTCGGAGGCCAACTGTGTAGAACCATATTATCGGACGAACTGCGACCAATCTAACGGTTTGGTAGTTCCGTGTTAAGAAAATCCCGAACCTCCAAATGCCAATGGGGTAAAAAGTAAAACTCGCACATTTTCCCGTTATATTTGTGTTTGAATTATAATTTTCTGTGTGTAATTTTTTAAAATATAAATTTCTGAAATCGGATGTTGCCCTGTATGTTGCGACGGTCACCGTAACTTAAACTTCCACGAAACCACCTAAGATCTGTGATTCTTCGTTCTCAGCTGTAGAGAAACGCACAAATTGATTTCGTTGTTTTCGTTTGCGTGCCTGTACAAGGGTTGGTCAAGATAGCCGGAACCATCTCGGATACTAAAATTCTTTATTAGTGCACGACAGCTTCGGTGTACAACACCTTCGGGACGGGCTTTGACAGCTCGAACCGTGGCTGGAGATAAGGAAAGTCGTAAATTAAACTTTAAGAATCGGCATCGATTGATGTCGCGGCGCTTGTTTTGATGTCTTCAGCGCCCGGGCATGGCCTCGACGCGCGGCGGCTTTGATGCCGTCACGCCTGACATTTTTATTACCATTTTGAATCTACCAAGGGATCCGAAAGAATACCCCCGCCCAGGAGGTGTTAATAGTCCTTTAAAAATTAAAGATTACCAGCGACGGACTTCTTAATAAAAATCCCCAATAGCAATGGCAATTTCATAAACCAACAACTAACTTCTCTCGAAGAACCCTCCCAAACAATTTCTCTCTCTTTCAACCCCCTTACGTTCGAACATAATACCATTAGCATCAGAATCAGCTTCGTATAGAAAATTCGGAACTGAACCATTGGCTGCACTAACAGCGATGGCGTAAAGTCCTTTAGGGCTCGCTTAACTTTCCATTCTCTGTGGACTCGGGGACGAATTATTAGTTAATACCACCGGGTCTAATAAGTGGAATCGATCAATCCTCGAGGTTCGAGGATATTTCTCGAGGAATTAGAACAGATCCGAGGGACGAATGAAGCCGTCAAAGACGCCCGTCCCCCGAGGATAGAAGGGAAAGTCGAAGAAGGCGAAAATCGTCGCCGTGATCGAGGTAGAAAGGAACCGGGTGCAGTTAAGTCTAGTTACGCGCATAAGGAAAGGGTTTAGGGTGGGGTTGAACAGAGGGGGAGTATGTCTGTATTGTCGCGAATGAGACGAAGGGGGGAAGAGAAGAAAGCGAAAAAGATAAACAGAGTCCATTAGGCCGTGCATGCGACGGGCAAAGAGCGCAGACAATGAGGGTCAAAGGCGCCACTTCTCTTGCCACGTTTTTAGCTGGGCGATCTTCATTCTTTGAGGACTTTGTTCCGCTGCCGTGGACCCACGGGAAATTCTCTCTGTCCGAAGAGGCCGATCAAACAGTCATGAGTATTACCTTCGGGAACCTCTGCCGCCGCGCGTATCGTCTTTATCCTCTTACCGGGAACGATACCGGCGCGCAAACGTTTTGCATAATCGCCGATTCCAATCACGGTAACTGATTTTTCGTGCGGGCAGGGTTCGATTAACCTTCTGGCTTCGTGCGTGCATCCTCCTCGCGATCGCATCCTAGAACGGACAGCGGAAAACGCGGCGGCCAGGATCATGCAAATCCATTCGAGGACGCGCGCCGCGTTCACGGTTCTTGATTGAATCGTGCCGAAGTATGCGAAACCGAAACAGGACGTCGTTCCATCGTAATTAACATCGTCGGCATTCCTAAACACTTGCTGATTAAAAAAAAAGGAAAAAGCGTCCCAAAGCCACTAGACGACAGCTTACAATATCAGCGGAGCTTTGAAACAAAGAGATGCGGCACAAAACGGAATAGACAATGGACCGTGTCTGTGTCCTAACGTTTGATGCGCTGTAGTTTTGGAAACAGGACAAGTGCCCTGTTTCGTTGTCGGTGTATGTGCTTATAATTTTCAATTCAGCATCCAATTGAAATTGTTTCGTTCCACACGGTGCACACATTATTAACGAATTTCTCGAGGCTTACAGCCTCTCTCTCTCTCTGAATCAGGCCTTAAAAATAGATTGAAAGCCTCCGCGCCGATGCCAATCCGAGGTGCAAAGCGTCCATTAGTAATTAATGTTTCCGCGGCGTTATTACACATCGATAATGAGCGGAGATTGTACACGCGGTCTCTCTCAACGTGTCCCCGGGCACAAGGAAGTAAGTTTCCTTCGGGACTTTTGCGCCTGGCTCACAAATTACCGCAATTACTGTACCTTAGAAAAACTGGCCGAACGGTAACAGTTTCTTTGTCGGTGCGGCCGGTCGCAAAGAAGTTCGCGCGAGAGCCGTGCACGGGTGTCGCGCGCGCGCGCGCGCACCGAAAAACCGACTTTTGCAGAAAGAACGGTTATTGAAATATTCCGGTCGTTTTGTAATCGAAAAAGTTCGGGGCCAAAAAAAATCATTTGCAAGCAGGTCGAATGCACGCAGAGCCGGCTGCGTGGAGAGCTATGCGCGAGAGCTGGGAGGAGCGGAGCGGTGGTTTAAATGCTCGGCGCGCTCGCATGGGCACATTAAATAAAATATCAGCCTTAAGGATATTTTCCAAGAATTTTTGCTCGAGAATCGCTCGCTCGCGCGCGAAAAAAAAGAGAGAGAGAGAGGGAGAGAGCGAGCGAGCGCGGATACGTAAGGGGCATATTCGATAAGAAAAGGCAATACAAGAAACTATGACCGGGGTCTGGTTGAATTGACGACTCGCGCGCGGCATGCTCGAGCGAATCGAATCGCGCTCTCCGGCACGGTTCTATCCCTCGGGCTTGTACAACGATCCCGTTAACGAACGACGCCATTAAGGGCGCATTAACATATAATTTTCCGCGAGAAATTATAGGCGACTCGGCTGAGTTGGCTCGCACGGTGTTTATTATACACATCCAAGAGCAACAGAGTGCCCGGCGTGCACACCGCCGATCGAAACAGGACTGAGAGCCAAGGTGAGAGAGAAGAGAGATTTTAACTGACGCGATGTGTTAGTGCATTCATGCGAATCCATATTGAGAGGCCAGAGAAACATGCATACATGTGTGTGGGATCGCGTGCGGCGGCAAGATCAAACGGAGATTCTCCTTCTCTTATACCCTCTCATCGTAATTCTCCCTCTTCCTCCCCCCTCTTCCACAGCCGACGTCTGTCCCGCTCTTTATCCCCGACTCTCTCGCTCCACCGTCACGCTCTCCTCTCTCTCTCTCTCTCTCTCTCCTCTCTCTCACCACCGCTCGTTTTTCCCTTTTTGCGTAGTCGCATCTCTCTCGTGCACGTCTGGCGCAAGTGGCACCGATGCATTGCTATATAGTTTCTCGCTTCTGCTCGCAAACGGTCTTTTCGTAACTTGTCTTTCTCTGCAGACCGTTCCTCGCCACTTTCCTTCCACTTTTCATAATTTCCTGTTCCGTTTCGCGGCCCCCCGTGCCCCCCTTTTCTCTCGTTATTATCATAATAATTTAATTTCCATCGACTTCTCGTCCGTCCGCGAACCGAAACTCACGTTTAGCGCCGGCCTAATGGGATTAGCGGGCTTCGGATACGTGTCCAGCTTGGATTTCTCGTTTTTCTTTTTTTTTCGAGCGGAAATGTTGCTGGGAATCTGGAACTCCAGGAGCATTCGGTCATTTTCTAGATGCAGTTTTACGATGATGACCGTGTCACGAAAGCATCGTAAACGTAATTGTTGCCAATTGTTTTCTATCCGGAGCGAAACGCCATGACGGATTCGCTGCTAAGATGGCTGGGTTGTCGGTAGCTTGTAATTTACCTGAAGGCAAATGGTCGTTTGGCAACGACTTCAATCGGGTTTCATTGAACATGGAATTAAAGAGATCGTCTGGATACGACATGGGCTGATGATAGACGGATGTTTTCCTTATTCTTTAATCTTCCTTATCGCGGCACTTTATGCGTTTAGGCGAACACTTAATTCAGTTTTTTCCACGGTTTCTGATCCTTCGTTTCACTGATTCGAGGAAGATAAAGGCAAGCGTAAACGCACTCGAACTGTTACGATTCGCGCGAATCACTAAATACAATAAATGTTACTGCAATTGTAATATTCATGCATGAAAACCACGAGCAATCTGTAATCGTGTTCAAGAACTTCTTGGTAAAAGAAAAAACAAATCTCGTACATGTTAAAGGCTCGCCGTACACGAAGCACCAAGACGACGAGAGATTCGTAAAAGTTTGAAAGCTTAAAAATCCGTTGAAAATGTCACGGTTCCGGGGACTTATTTCTACTTGGCTGGAGCTGCCTGTTCAATTTTTTAGCGACTGGAAATTGTTTATCCCGGCAGCTAAGGCAAACAACTTGTTCAAATTTATGAAAATCCCCATGTTTCCGTAAGAGTTTTAAAGTATGGATAGGTATATATACATATACACATGTATAGCTCAGAATTTGCCCTTATACCTGGACCCTACCACTTTTTTGTCCCGCCGTCCACCATGGCCAAGAAGCGGAAAAGGAAGGGGAGTGTACGAGAGAAAGAGAGAAAGAGGGAGGGAGGCAGTTGTGGCCGTAAGGGAGGTGTGGCAGAGTAAGGAAGAAAAGAAGAAGAAGAAGGACGGTGCAGGAGAGAGGAGGAAAAAGCGAGGGAGAGAGATAATACTCGCTCTCCCTTGGCTCTACGGTCACTGTGTAGTTTCAGTCTTACCGTGTACGTTGTATGGGGCACAGGTCTTCCTCGGCATCCTTTGTCGTATTCACATTCAACCGGAGCCGTTCCTTCAGCCCTTGTTTTTCTGCTCGTTTCGCTGATTCGGTATACACCGACGAAAAAGATTTCACAGAATAAAGTTTCGAGTGGCAGTCTTATTCGCGGAGGAACGCGTTCGCTTCTCGAATTTTTCATTGAATTTCAATCGGAGTACGCGATCGACGTGCTGACATTTTCTTCGGTCGCTGAAAGGCTAAACAGATCCCATATAAAACAGAAGACTCGAATCAATTTACTCGAGCAGACGACAATTTTGTTACACCACCGTAATATCTTCAACCAACGGAAACACCACGTTTCGGTGCATCGAAATTAGGTACCAAATTTTTCCCGGTAGCCGCATGGAGATAATCAAAGGACATTAAGCGCGGGGGGGGATAGTTGGCAACGCGACCTGTGATGACGAAGCTCCCGGTGTCAATCATGAAAGTAATGAAAGTGTTCGAATGAAAATGTTCTTGATATGTGTTCAGAGAGTTTCAACGAATCCTTTTTGCAACTTGAATATCGTATTTTTCCGATAACTCATGAAATTAAAACCGACGGACCGTATAAGATTAATCGAAACTCCTGCACGAATCTGCCATGGACGTAGCCCGTTGGTATCGGATATCACCGAATCAGCTTATAGAATAAGCTTTAAGGATAATTAAGCATTGTTGCCGCAGTGAAAAAAAGACTGTTCGTCTGCCCTGTGAAAATACACCGGATCGGCGAGAATTATCACCGTATAAATTCAGCATGGCAAATGATCCCGAGGAAATGTTTCGTGTTCTGTTTTACCCAACTGATGAAATGCGTGACCGCAAACAAAATGAAGAAGAAGACAGAAATGCATTGAGGCGAACCAGCAGAAGCATGCAGGCTGCTCGACAACTCGGATGTTTTTATCTGGAAAACCTTATTCCCGAGATTTCCTGCGGACACTGCAACCACCTAAAAACTATAGTTCCTGTGCGATTGATACAATCCTTTCGCGTGTGAGCTACAATTGTGATTTATCTTGCTTCCGCTACCAGATGTCGTTTGCGACGAACGGAATTCTGGATCCCGTTTCCGCCGACTTAAATGTGATTTTTAAACGAACCTTACGTAGAAACAATGCATCGAGATGCTCGAATGATGGCGTAGTATCAAATCATTTAATTTTACATACGAAATAGCCGTATGCGATCTGTGAACATTTAAAAGCGACTCGTAAACAAATCTTCGCCTTGGAGGCATGTAAACTATATTCTTAAACGAAGCACGAATATGAAGTCGTTCCAACGAAGACAGCCCATCATACCATTACAGGATCAAGGTATTAATTTCAAAAATGATTTCAGTTCACTGTTTACGCTTCCATTATTCTTTATACTTTTGTTTTTCCGTTATTTCACTGCCGTGATACAAGGGTCACTTATTATCTTGACTAGCGTGGTATTGGCGCCCACGTTTAAATTTAAATTTGAAAATCCTGTTAGCCGATACTCGAAAATTAGTAACTAATTTTCCACGCAGGGAATACCAAGTACGATTTTTCTTTGAAAATTCAAATTCTTTACGTTTGGAACCGAAAATTGGGACGAAAATCACATCGAATAAATTGAAGCATACGCATAATCCGGCGAGATGAATGAAGGTCAATCGGAATTAAGAAGAGAAAGGCGGGGCGACGAAGAATCTTGACACGTCAGTGAACATTCTCCTAAGTCGATGGTCGAGAGTCGGCGGTCGACGGTCGCGGCGGTCGTGACGGTCGACGACCGACGGTCGGTGTAGCTGCCGGCCGAGCGGTCCCTTAGAAGTTTCTTTGAAAGATTCGCAGCTCGCGAGGCATAATACCACTACATAAAGTCATCTGGCGATAACGGTGACACGCCTTTGACCGTTTCCGCTCGGTCTTTCACCAACAAATCCTTGTCGGTACTTCAAAAGACTTTAGAAGCCGGTGTTTATGGCCTGATCGGGATCATTTCCGTTTCGACCCGATAACGCTCCCCTTATTATTTAATTGATAACCTTCGTTGTCGTAATGGACGTTCGATATCGATAAAACTTCCCTCGGCGCCTTTGAAAGGAAATACCCTTTGGAAACGTTATTAATATTGCATGGTCTGCCCGGGAGTTTACCGAGCGATCTGAAGCTTACACGCGCCTGCTATATTTTAACCCTTATTTTAAGGGGAGTAAGTGCCTCGAGACTAGAAAGGGTAGATCAATGGTCTCCTCGTGTCATTGTCAAGAACCTCTCGTGCCCGATGCGGTTGATAAGAAAAGTTCTCTTCTTGTCGGATGTTGATTACTAGTTACAAACACGTATACACAGGGTCGATAGATGGAAAAAAGAAGTAGTCACGCAATTGTCTTCTCAACTTACCGCAAAATATTCTTCTACAGTTTTTTGTTTCTTTTTTTTTTCGTTTACGGTTGTACGAGAATTGACATGAAACACGACATTATCGTATCTTTACGACACTTCCTTTGAAGATAATTAATTCACAATCCTATTTAATATATACACTTACATAAAAAAACATCACAGATCCAGAAACGTAGCAGGGCTTCTGAAGGAAGTTTTATTTAGTCGTAATGACGACCTCCCAAATTAATTTCAGATTTCCTTTAACTCGCGAAGCAAAAAGTTAACGAATCCACGCAAGGGTTTAGAGTGGCAACGCAGGAACTCTCTCTCCGCTCGACATGCCATGTACCGCACTTGTTATCTATTACAAAAAATTCTGCTAATGATTTTGGAGCTTAAAGGAATATAAGTTACAGTGTCCCTCTTCCTCGTCGTACAATGTCGTAATATGAAACTCATTTAATTGAATTTCGATCGTTAAAGTACGCGCGCGCGCGCGATACAGTATTCTTGAAATACAATGGATTAACTGCATCTGTGTCATACTAAAAATAATGAATGCCAAACGTTTTGCAGAATTATGTATATGTAACTTAAAAATGATTGAAAAAACTTCAAACTTTCCCCGATTCGTTTCTGATGTACTCCGTTTATTCGACTCCAGTATTCCCGGAAGACTTTTCCTTAAAATTCTCCCAAACGGAGAGCAGAAATCTCTGCGGTCGTGTTAACGAAAAGTTTTGTAACTGTCTGCTACGTGGCGAAAAACAGAGCAAGAAAGATAGAAATGCAGAGAGAGAGAGAGAAGGGGGGGGGGAAGTCGGTAAGAGGAACGAACGGAAAATCGAGAAAGATAAAAAATTCGAATTATGCTCTGTAAAGCCATGTGGAAATTTAAATGGTCGCCGTAAGAAAAGCATATAGGAGTCGTCTGAGACAGAGTTCCTCGGTTGGGCGCGTAAAAGAGATTTTACCGAAGCTGCGCGACCCGAAGGTGGAAGAAGGAAAAAAGGAGGTGACGCATGAGGAGGAGGATGACTGGGTGGGTTGGTAGGAAACTTACAGGTACCAGGAGGGAAGGGAGAAAGCTGAAAGGGTTAGCTGAATGGGCGCCATGTGTGCTTTTCTCGTTTGAGGAGCTTCGGATTGCCTAGTGCCGTACCTAGATTTTTCTGTACTGCCGACCTCCGACGAATGATCACAATTAACCGGATATCTCATGAAACACCTGGGGCCTCTCTGAATGCACGTAATCTGGACTATACGTCGAAACAACGAATTCCACTTAAAAGGAAGAAAGCAATTCGACGATATTTATCATGGATCCGTGTACAACCGTCACGGTTTTATCCCGTTACCGTTACCGACGGAGCAGGAACAATCTCGCCGAAGATACGGCAGAACAATGAGGGTACAGAGAACCGTACAAATTTCAAACAGCGCCAGGATCCGCTGGTAGCCGGGCGGATCGAAAAGGAACGCCGATGGAAATGAAACAAAGAAACCGGAAAGACAACCGAAAGATATCGGCGACTCTTCTTCGCCTCCTCTTCCTCCGCTATGTTTCTCTTTTCTTCGTACTCTGTTTTTCGGACAATTCCAAGTAGCAAGCCGCGATTGCCGACACGGCAATCTAAGATGTGAAAAAGATGGAGGGAAAGGCGGAGAAAGAAAGAGAGAGAGAGAGTGAGAGGAGGGGGAAGTGAGGTAAAAAGAAGGAGACGTCGAAGAAACGGAGAAGAAATAGAAAGAAACCGAGAGTGAGTAAGTAAGTAAAGTAAGAGGGTAAAATAAAAGAGGAATCGGAGAGCCCTTTGGACGCAGACCGTGGAGGGGAGGGGGGGGGAAGGGTCAAATAAGGTGGACCGCTGTCGGAGTCGAAGCGGGAGGCCGCTCAAAGTGGACAGAAAGAACGAAAGAGAGACAAAAGAGAAAAGAAAACAGAGAAGAGCGAATGCGAAGCAAACCGTGCGCGCGAGACAGAGAGAGAGAGAGGGATAAGGGAGGGGGAGAGAGAGAGAAGGAAACAGAGACGGGTGGAAAGAAAGCCACGAACGGGACGGCACAGGTAAAGGCAAGAAGGAGGACGAGGAAGGCGATGAAGGAGAGAAGAAGGCAAAAAGGGAGATGGAAGACACAGACCTCGCCGGCTGGTGGCTGGCGGCTGGCGGCACCGCTTGATGTACGTCGGGTCCGTAATTACAGGTTTTCGGAACGCCTCGCTCGGCGAAGCACGCTCTTTGAAAGCTGGGGCCCTTCCCTCGCCTCGTCATCTAACTGGTGACTCCGAAATACTTGTCATTTCTTCGATCGCTTTTTCTCGACAAGGAAAAATATCGCCTACCTTCAGAAAATGTTAATGCATTCGGAGGAATGCACACAATGGGAAGCACCTTTTTCTTCGTGACCTTTTCGTCGCTTTCGCGGGGTTCGTTCTCTCTCGGTTTCAGTACTAAAAACCAATCTTTTTAAAATCTTGTCGATCCACAGTATTACTTTTTTATACGGGCGATTTCATTTCCGAGCCGAAACGACCGTTATCGAAACGATGAAACAGGTTCCTATTTTGCTGGTCAATAAAGCGACGGTTCGAGACACCCGGTAGATGAAAGTTAAAAGTTTGAAGCATTTATGCGTCTCGGTAAAATACGTAGAAGAGTACCATGCAGCACATTCGGATTTCATACGAGCGTATCCAATTTCGATTACTCGTAATTGAAGGAATTTGTAATGGATAGCTTGATTAATGTTGAATATGTTATATTCGATCGTTTCTTATCGATTAGTGAAATTATTTGTACAGATTATTTCCTGTTCTCTGTGCTCATCGTATTTCTGGTAATATATGCAAAAGCCTCCGCACACCGTGAAAATCACGCGGTATTCTGCATTTTAATATTGTGTTCCCACATTTGTCAGAAAACCGAAAAATGTTTTCAGGCGACTGGAGATAATGCTAGTAGGATGCGAGATTTAAATTCCGTACGGTTTGATACATTTTTACACGGTTGGAAAAATTTCAATATCTTGGGACCTCCTTGTATGGATTCTGAGTATTTCACTCGTCGATATCAAACAGCTTGGTATGCGGGGTAACGCCGATCCTAGCATTTACCGACCAAGCGAAAGGGGAATATAGCGTGTCGCTCGGAGATGAATTTTGTACGTATCCTGTCCAGATGGCTTTTCCACACTCTGGGGTTAGCTCTGGGATACTTTCACCTTCTAGGAATTCGATTAGGATTCACGAAATGTCACGAGCTTTGGATCACACACAACTATAGCAGAATATACATATTTCGCTCATTATTTAAATCATAAAAGTTTGAATGAAAAGAACGAAAAGTTTGAAGTCTATTGTATGAGAAGAAATGTGTATGTAATTCCGAACGTAACGAGGGAGGATAATCTCGAGTGAACATTATGAGGATCAAAATATTCAAATCCGTTCAAATAATGATACATAATAGCTCGAATACTTCATCGGTATTGAAAAATCAGAGGAGTACATTCAAAAAATGTATGATCTCATTCATGCGAGAAGACATAAGTCGTTATTCGAAATTGAAATTGATCGAAGGTTTCCGCACCGCATATAAAAATCTTCATGTTATGTGCAACAGCCCTAATAGTTCTTGACGCGACGCATTTCTTTCGACATATAATTATATCTCACGGTACCGTGCTTCGAATAATTATAACGACGGACATCATTAAGCAAGTAGAAAATGAAGAAGACATTAGAGAACCGTGCAAGGTGCCTGTTGAAATGATTATTCTCGCACACTTTCGTCGTTATTAAAATTGAAGATTCTAATGAAGTATGCTACATTGAATAGCGGATCACCCTCGGATCCCTATCAGAAACGCTCGGTTAATGATTAAGGCTGAAGTGCAACTGATTTAAGAGGTAGAATAGTTCCCAAGTTCATCACATCAGATTCCGTCGTATTGATAATAAATTCTCACCCCAAATTGAACGATTTTAAAATCATGCAATCATTACTGTAATGACAATATTAATTTCTTCCATAGCTGTTATGATACCCTGAAATGATTTTATGAAGTAATAGAAGAAGAAACATGAGTCCGAAAAAATTCATTTAATGGAATAGAATTATAAAAATTTGTAGATAAAGTTACCATTCTTTATTCCGTTAGATAAAATGCAATATTAAGAATCGTGTAAAAAGAATATAAATTAATAAATTTTATAATTTGTTTTCAGTTCAGACGCGGTTTTACAGAAAGAATAACATTTTTACGTGGTAGTTTAATAATTTTTAATGTATAGCTAGAAATGTCCTGAAGTTCGAAACACAGTGTAACTAGTGCCATCTATTAGAAAAGACGGAACAAAAATGGTAAATAAAGTTGTTTCTTTTTTTTGTAAACTTGTTACACGCTGTTACAGGTGGTTACAACTACGTGCCCATGTNCGAGCCGAAACGACCGTTATCGAAACGATGAAACAGGTTCCTATTTTGCTGGTCAATAAAGCGACGGTTCGAGACACCCGGTAGATGAAAGTTAAAAGTTTGAAGCATTTATGCGTCTCGGTAAAATACGTAGAAGAGTACCATGCAGCACATTCGGATTTCATACGAGCGTATCCAATTTCGATTACTCGTAATTGAAGGAATTTGTAATGGATAGCTTGATTAATGTTGAATATGTTATATTCGATCGTTTCTTATCGATTAGTGAAATTATTTGTACAGATTATTTCCTGTTCTCTGTGCTCATCGTATTTCTGGTAATATATGCAAAAGCCTCCGCACACCGTGAAAATCACGCGGTATTCTGCATTTTAATATTGTGTTCCCACATTTGTCAGAAAACCGAAAAATGTTTTCAGGCGACTGGAGATAATGCTAGTAGGATGCGAGATTTAAATTCCGTACGGTTTGATACATTTTTACACGGTTGGAAAAATTTCAATATCTTGGGACCTCCTTGTATGGATTCTGAGTATTTCACTCGTCGATATCAAACAGCTTGGTATGCGGGGTAACGCCGATCCTAGCATTTACCGACCAAGCGAAAGGGGAATATAGCGTGTCGCTCGGAGATGAATTTTGTACGTATCCTGTCCAGATGGCTTTTCCACACTCTGGGGTTAGCTCTGGGATACTTTCACCTTCTAGGAATTCGATTAGGATTCACGAAATGTCACGAGCTTTGGATCACACACAACTATAGCAGAATATACATATTTCGCTCATTATTTAAATCATAAAAGTTTGAATGAAAAGAACGAAAAGTTTGAAGTCTATTGTATGAGAAGAAATGTGTATGTAATTCCGAACGTAACGAGGGAGGATAATCTCGAGTGAACATTATGAGGATCAAAATATTCAAATCCGTTCAAATAATGATACATAATAGCTCGAATACTTCATCGGTATTGAAAAATCAGAGGAGTACATTCAAAAAATGTATGATCTCATTCATGCGAGAAGACATAAGTCGTTATTCGAAATTGAAATTGATCGAAGGTTTCCGCACCGCATATAAAAATCTTCATGTTATGTGCAACAGCCCTAATAGTTCTTGACGCGACGCATTTCTTTCGACATATAATTATATCTCACGGTACCGTGCTTCGAATAATTATAACGACGGACATCATTAAGCAAGTAGAAAATGAAGAAGACATTAGAGAACCGTGCAAGGTGCCTGTTGAAATGATTATTCTCGCACACTTTCGTCGTTATTAAAATTGAAGATTCTAATGAAGTATGCTACATTGAATAGCGGATCACCCTCGGATCCCTATCAGAAACGCTCGGTTAATGATTAAGGCTGAAGTGCAACTGATTTAAGAGGTAGAATAGTTCCCAAGTTCATCACATCAGATTCCGTCGTATTGATAATAAATTCTCACCCCAAATTGAACGATTTTAAAATCATGCAATCATTACTGTAATGACAATATTAATTTCTTCCATAGCTGTTATGATACCCTGAAATGATTTTATGAAGTAATAGAAGAAGAAACATGAGTCCGAAAAAATTCATTTAATGGAATAGAATTATAAAAATTTGTAGATAAAGTTACCATTCTTTATTCCGTTAGATAAAATGCAATATTAAGAATCGTGTAAAAAGAATATAAATTAATAAATTTTATAATTTGTTTTCAGTTCAGACGCGGTTTTACAGAAAGAATAACATTTTTACGTGGTAGTTTAATAATTTTTAATGTATAGCTAGAAATGTCCTGAAGTTCGAAACACAGTGTAACTAGTGCCATCTATTAGAAAAGACGGAACAAAAATGGTAAATAAAGTTGTTTCTTTTTTTTGTAAACTTGTTACACGCTGTTACAGGTGGTTACAANATGTATTATATTATGTTAATGTTCATTAAATTATGACTTAAACTTCTCTCTACATAAGATTTTCATTACATTTAACATTTTTTAGTTAAATAAATCATCATGCCTTTTTCAAATGAAAAGATTGAAAATTCTGTCAGTTTTGTGTAAAAACTTTTGATTATTGCATATGCATAATTTTTATTAAGAAATATTTTATATTTAAGAAATTAGAAATCAACTATTTTCATTCATATCTTTGACTGTCTTAAAGGAGCCTCTTTGAAACTTTTGTGAACATAGCCATTTTTTAATAATCGCAAATTAATTTAGATATATTATTAAAATACATTTTTTAATTTTCATAGACTGTTTTGTAGATATTGAAATACTATTTTTACAATGACAGTCATTATGAACAGACAGTATTATTAAAACAGGTATAAGTTGTCATTTCAAAAAAGTAGTAATATTGTGATTAAGTTATTGTTATTAATTTATATTGTTTAGAATAAATCAGTACAAAGATATGATTGTTAAAAGGTATATACATTTTCACATTTATGGGAAATAAATGTGGTATTGTATTTCATCGTAGCAATGTACAATTATTTATAGAGTAAAGATATCAGAACTGAACGCTTCGCATTCTGACAAGATCAGACATTGTATCCCTACTCCACCCTTCCTGTACCAATGTGGCGTCGGTCCTGGTCAGGACGCAGCCTTAGCTCAGTTTGCCTGGAGACGCGTAGACAGTGGTATCGCATGTTCATTCTGTTCTTTAACAATGGAAGTTAAACACTGCCAGTGATTGAGGTCGATAAAGTTGTAGAGATCATAATAGGTTTTACTCGGCTAGATAGATTTCAAGGTCAGGTATAGAAAACTCCTAGCAAAATGGTATGTATATATTCCTTTTCATCCCTTAATACAGGGAAATGTGCACTCAAGTGAGATGATTCATTATGACAGCTTTTCATTTCATATTTTCTCTCTCGAGCAGGTAGAGATCAGATTTCTATGGTTGTCTGAAGCTTTTATATACCGTAAACGTACTTATATATTACGATATCAATGTTCGTATGTGTATATCTGTGTTGTATGCCTTTCAGTTTTGTCTGTTGAATTCTTTATCTTCTTTTTATGTAGATGCGTACTCCTTTAGTTTGAAAATGTTTTGCATATGTTTCACCTATATAAATGCTACATCTATATAGATTTATGTCTTCTTTTATTAGTAAATCCATTCCAATCTTGAGAGTTTGTCTTTTTAGTGGAAATTCAAATCAATAGTTCAAAATAATTGAACACAGATTGAATAAGTAAATTATTACAATATTTAGAATGATATGGTTTGTTATTATTTTCACACAACATTAATGTGCTCCAATCATTTCAATGCTAAATTATACAATTACGTACATTATTAATGTTATGCTAAAGTAAGAGGTTCATGCAGCAATATTATGATTTGCTTCTACCTAAAAAAAAGGATATAGCACAAAATTGCTGGCATCCTTATGAAATCATATTTCTATAGCCTGTCATAACAATGGGCCTGAACCTCTGGGAATATAATAGCCTTTTCTTTGTATAGGATACCTTACCCTATAGATCTATTAATATCTAGCCATCCTGTCAAAATAAAATTTTACTCTGCAGTGAGTTTTATTCTACGGCCAAGCCCTGTTTGGGGTTGACTGTAGTGTTCAATAGATTGCGTTATAATTTTTGTCGATCAATACCACACAAATGTTCTGCGCGGACCAATAGGGATATATAGAGAGGCATCTTTCAATGCGCAGACTGCCAGGAGCTACCCTACAGTTTTTCTGTCAGGCTCCGCCCTTAAAGTTCTTCGGGATAGGAAAACCATCCTTAGGTGCCTAATTGGTATATGACTCACCACAGGGCTCGATCGATCCAGCATCCCTAGGCTTCGGTCTATTGTTCAATACCCCTGAATTCAAAATATAGCTCTTCTATAGCATATTACGTCCTGAACTATATAGAAATTGATGTTAACTATATAAAACTAGAAATTTAAAAAATTTATATAATTTAGATTGACATAAAAATTATTCATAATATTTTTTATTTTCTACATGGGGGTAAGATGGTTATATATTAACAAACTAGTTTTGTTATATTTGCTTCATAAGATGATGTATGTATGTTTAATATTTATCCATGATTTATTTATTACTTTTATTTGTGAAAAAGATATTTATGCAAAATATTCTTTCTGTTTATTCTAGGTTTGGATTAACCATGTCCACTAAGAGGCGTCGTGGGCCTAAATTAAACATAGAACGTAAAATAATACACGAAGGCCATAATAGATAGGATGAGTGGATCTCGACAGAACGAAGCACGTTGCTTCAATGAAAACTCTCCACGGCCACCAGTGCCTGGTAAGTTTTTGCATGCCCTGAAAATGTTACATTTGTATCGTAGTATTATATTATTTGTACTATGAAAAAGTACATCTGTATACATAAATAATTTCTGTTACTTTCATTATATTTTCCTGCTCTTGTCATACATGTCAAATGTATAGGTTAACTTTACATGATTATAATTAGCAATACCAAGATAAAATTATCTCAAATTTTAATTATAGGAGAGGAAACGGGAAACTACGTCAGCAGGTTCCGTCCACAGAGTCCAACTCTGACCCCTAGGCGCTCTTCTCTTGCAACTCCAACAGCTTCAGGTTGCGATGCTTCGGCACCTTTGGGATTTGAACCGGAAGGTTGCTGTAGTACGACAACTATGGAAAGTGATTCACCGCCTGCTTGTTTGCAGTGGGCCAGGAACCTGCATTCCCTGCTGCAGGATCCAGTGGGCTTGGAATTGTTCAGGAAATATCTGGATCAAGAAGGCAGACCACATGCAAATCCTCTTAACTTCTGGTTTGCGTGTGAAGGTCTCAAGGAACAAGATGACCCTGAAAGGATAAATCAATTGGTTAAACTTATCTACAGAAAGTTCTTCCTTAAATCGCAGTTAGCTATACCAGAAGATGTACGAAAGGAGGCTAATCGTCGAGTTAAGGAAGGACGGGCGGACGAGAAGGTGTTCGATGCTGTACAGTTGGAAGTCGAACGCCTCATTAATGAGACTACATATCCAAACTTTCTTCGGTCTGATATGTATCTTCAATATGTACAGTCCTACCAGAATCCAGATTCTGGTGGATGTCCTAGTTCAGGATCGAGTCGAGAGATGTCTGTTTCTTGTGGGCCAAGCTTATTGCCCACTGTCCACGAAGACAGTGAATTTGTTAGTTCCGTACATAGCTCACATTCAGCTAGTGAAACGCCTGGGGAATTGAGGGGTGAGCTGAGATTGACCAAAGATATGCTTATGGCTACTCAACAAACTAGGGCGATGGATCTTCGACCAAAGCCAGAAGCATATGCTGGGTAATATATATATATATACATATTTTTTAATAAATGTGTTTTTTCATTTAAAACATTCATTACCTAGAATGCTTCCAAGTTAGATTTGCATTAAACGCTTTATTTAGCTCGTATTACTTTTAAGCTTGATGTGTGAATTTTTTTGGTAATGTTTTGCAGTGTATAATGTTTTTGTACACATCCACTTATAATATTGAAAAAATCTTTAATGCAATTGAAACGTGTGAATCATATTGTGATATACAAAAAATATTGTACATTATATGAGTGTTTTAATTTCCTATTATATTTTAAATTTACGATATATCTGTCAGAACGTTTTCCAATCTTTTGTTTTTTCCTTTTGGTTTGACATTTTGCGTGGCGCTCGTAGCATTTACTTGCAACATGGAGCTAGTCCATATCATATGCTCGTACCCAGACTGCACGCACAATATTCCTCATACAATCCAGTATCCAGACAGGATTCAGAACTTCAAAGCTTGAGCAGTGATGCACGAACAGAATCAGACAATATGTCCCTCACCGATTCGTCAGTGTAAGTTTTTTTATTTTATGTAATATACAAAGAATGAATTTTCATTTGTCATTAGTACTTATCTTTAAACATTGGAAACGTTTGCCTAATTATTCTACGAGTTCTTATTGAAATGCTATTATAAGTTAAATCCCTCTATTTTGTTAATATTTGTGTATTGGTTCACCGGTAGGAAAAATTCTGTAATATAGAGAACACATTGAAAAATAAATATTCTGCACTGGTTATAATCTTTTTCTTTTAACTTTCTAAAAATTAAAATTCAATTGTCATGTGAACTTAATGAAATTTGCTACCCCATCTATATTGTTGTATAAAGTACTAAATATTATTATATGTCACATAAATGTACATAACTTTTCTACTGCGTGAGAATCTCTTTGATAAATGATAATTAACAATTTTATGCTTAAATATGTATTCACCTCCATTCTAAATTTTACTTCTATTTCAGTGCACATAGTTTGCTTGAGATACTAACTTAGGGTAAAAGATTTGATCTTCTAAAAATGATCTAATTATTAATAATAATTTGTTTATGTTTCTTTTTTACAGTGATGGAATGTCAATGGGTAAACAACGAAGTAAAAAACAGTATATAAGACAGTGTAGAGCTATGAAAGATTCAGCTAGTTTAAATCGTGATCCAATGGCGCATCATACAATCATCCCCCGTACGCAGCGGGTGCCACGTGATCTAATGCATCCATTGAAACCGGAAGAATTTGCTCAAGTGCTTATTGAGAAGTTAGAGAATGTCAAACGCGAAAGAGAATCTCAGGAAAAGCTTGATAGGCATTTGCAAGAGGGCGAAACGATTAACAAGGACGTTGCTTTGGAGATGCCAAGCGGAGCTCCGAAAGCACTAGCTGACGCACTGAGGGAAAAATTGTTGATAGAGGAAGATAACGATCAAGCAATTCTGGACCAACATGTGTCACGAGTTTGGTCGGACCTAACGCCTTCTCGATCGCCTGGACTCTCATCACCAAGACTGCATTCGCCTGAAAGAAGACGTTCTACGCACAATTATCCACGTTCGTACAAACAGAGAAAAGAGAAGGATGTGTTCTCTACGTTTTCAGCAGATAGTGGTAATATTCACGATTTCCAAGAAGGCAGCGATCTTGTCGGAGCTGGCTCCATGAGTTCATTAGGATCTCACTTGCCTAAATCTAAATCCGTGCCATCTGATTATGCCGATTCCCTCCATAAGCAAGACCTTTATCTTCAAGGTACATTTAAAATTCGATCATTTTAATAAATTATTAACGACAAGGCACTGTTCTATCATTATTCATTTCTGTACAGGTCATGACCAGAGATTCCGAAGGTCGGACATGACTAGGAGATCAGCCACAAAGAAGTCTATGACGGAATTAACAGATAGTGGTGTAAGCGTTGTAAGCGATGCGCCACCATCGACGATTAGTAAAGATATTCGTCTTTTGTCATGGCTTAAAGAAACTGATAAGAAAGATATCAAGCACAGCCGTCATGGGAAGAAGTATGGATCTCGTAGTGGCTCTTTGGAAAGAACGAATAGGGAAACGTGGGGAGTTCCTGCCCAACCTTTTGTTGCCGACCCAGGAATGCCACCATTACCACAACCTCATACAGTAAATGCTATTTCGTTGTTAAAAATTGCTTGAAAAACGTTCAAAATTATTATTATTATTATTATTATCATCTACTATACAAATTCCTTATTTTATCAATAGGCAACCCAATTAGAAGAAGCAAGAAGAAGATTAATCGAGGAAGATAGGGCACGTTCAAGTTGCAAACAACGCCATTCTAATATTTCTAAGCAATCGTCGTATGAGCCTACAATGCAGAGTCAATCTTATGTTCAATCAAACCAATCAACGTTAAGGAAAACGAAGCAAGATATCGGAGATTTTACCACCGTTGTGTTCAGTTTCTGTGACGAACAGTTTCCTTATAGGACTAAAATTCCTGGTCATAATGTCACTTTAAAGCAGTTTAAAGAATACCTTCCTAAGAAAGGCAGCTATCGGTGGGTACAACCAAATATCACTTTACATATTACAATGTAAACGTTTGCTTGCAATTGTTATAATTCTTTTTAGATATTTCTTTAAAACTGAGTGCGAGGATTTGGATACGAAGGTTATTCAAGAAGAAATAACTGACGATTCTGAAGTTTTACCGTTATGGGAGGGTAAAGTTATGGCGCAAGTCAAGGCGCTCGAGTGATAGACTGAAACAAGGATATTCTCAATAACGAACGTGCTAACTTCGATAAAGTGCCGCAACTAATTTTATTTAAGAGGACCAGCATTCTAGAAGAAGAAACCTAATAAAGGCGATACTCGGTATTAGTATATTGAAGTTGCTAAAGCGGTTTCTTCCGCTTCGGTTGACCGAGCGCAAGTGTTTTTAAAATTGACAAAACAAAACGAAAACCTGTTAACCGAGCAAAACCATTATATGTTTATTAAGTAAAAAAAAGACGAAAAACAAAACCTTATTTAGATGACTACAGATTTTGTTGGATATCGATCCTTGACTAATACTTGATTTTTACAGAATTTGTATCTTCTTCGAAATGTACTTTTTAATTCCTATCAAAATGGTACCCTCGACGATAATATTTTGTATCGTATTTGTTTCTTCCCGATTATCGAGAAAAGGCATATGGTGTTGCTGTATTGTACATAATTTTACTTATGATTTTTATGAAAAAGCGTTCCTTTCTGTGGCGAAGGTTTTGCAAGCAAAAAATACAAACTAAAGAAATCAAAAAGAAATGTACGTGATTCTAGTTTGATCGGTTCTACACGAAACTGGGCAAGTTGCAGTAACGCGATGAGTTTACCAAATTTTCAACAAGAGCAACTTATTCATTTTCGGTAGCAGATAATTCGTGAAAACTGAATACCATCGTGATCGCAAATTTGGTTATCCACCGATATCAGTTCGGACAGATCGCATCGACGCCGGGAAACAACATTGTATATTGATTGAATGAATAATTTCTTCCTCTTAAAGACTTCCCATAGTTTTCCAAACGACTGTACAAAGGCCCGCGTAGTTCATCGCCTTAGTAAGGTCTGTATAGGCCTTAGATATACATAGGAAAGAACATTATTACAAATTAGTTTGTAAGATGGTATATTACGTGCATTATGAAATACACATGCTCTGTTTTAATGTACGTAATATATCGCCCCCATTCGAAATACTGTGAAAAAAAAAATATTAAGAATACAAATCATGTTTTGTCGTACCACCATTATCACCCATTTGACATTGTAAAATAAGCTCCTGCATCGCATAACACAACACATACATGGGAAATAGAAGCGCGACACATTAAAAAAAAAAGAAGAAGGAAATTGGCATTTTTCGGGGGGAGGGATGGGGATGGGGAAACGGGAGGAGAAAACACGAAGTACTTTGGTGGAAATGGAAAATAAAAAAAGGAATCGTTAGTGTCTAGACCGTAACACAATGTTTTATCAGGTGCGAAAAATTGTGCCTTTTTAGTGCAGTAAGATCGAAGTAAGCCTAAGAAAAAAAAAGGTTAAGAGATACTTATAAATTGGAGACCAGCGGGTCTAATATCGAGAGGATAAATTTGATACACCGAGCGTTTTGTATATATTTTTTTCCAAACTTCATCGTAGTCTTTGCAAGCTTAATCATTAGCATCGTTAACGCTAAAAGAAACAATTATCAGCATCGTTACTTTGACAACACTGTATTTTTTTCGTATTGAATTCTCAACGACGATATACATCCGTTCCGTTTCACTGTTTCGACTTCAAAATGATTCTTGCGACGAAAAAATTGATTACGTGCGTATGTATTCAAAAAAAAAATGGAGAAACGGAAGGAAAAGTTTAAAAATCGAACGTGTGATTGAAATCTTCTCGAATGGCCTTCGCATACTGGTTCGATTCTTATAGTCGTAGGCGCTCGGCTTCCTAAAACTGATTTTTGAATTTTTAACAGACACCGGGAGACGGAGAGAAAAAAAAGAACGAAAAGAAATGTAGTATCTACATGAAATGAATTCAATGACGCCGAGGCTGGAGGCGATGCACCGTGGCTGATAACAGTTTATTGTATGTAATTGATTATCTTTAATTATTACCACGAATGATAAAGTGTTCCTGTACCTAATTAATTAATAATGATTATTATTGTATATCAAAAGTATTGAGAATAATAATGCCATTTTCACTGGATTATATGAAATCTATTGTACTCTATTACTTTGGAAAATAACCTGTGTCTGTACTGTTCGATTCATTTTGTGAATGTTTACAGTTTCGTTCTAGGTAGTTAATAAATTATTGTCTGGGATTCCAGAAGAATACAATAATGCAAATTTGAAATATACAGAAGAGAAGATTCGCATCAATTATATTCTTTTCTTATCGCATCTATCCTCCTATTTAATTTTCTGTTTTAAATACGATCAAGAGAAAGGGTAGAAGATCTCCTGATGGTTAAATATTAATTTCCTAGAAGGAAAATAGTAAATGCATACTTTTAAAATTTAGTATTATTTATTGGTTTCCTGAATATATTTTATTTTTGGACATCTGTAAGTAAAATATTTTACACTTCATAAATGTTTATGTGATACTGAAGCATTTTTAAATTTATAATATTTATTCTAATGGACTAATAATCTTATCTTTACATTAGTGTGCAAATATATAGCAGACTTGTAAAATTTTACGATATATTTATAGTAATTTATTGTTACTTCAATATTGTTTATGCCTATTTCTGGGAAAATATGAGGACATAATTTATTTATATTCCATAGTTTTATCGGGGTTTTGCCATTTCCTATTTCCCCTTAACTCCCACCACGATATTCCGGAGGATGTACAAATTTAAACTTATGCAAGAAGGAGTAAATATCCGATAAACGCTTGAATATTTTCGTACTTTTTTTTTATATGTATATGTCTTTGAAATATCTAGTGTCTTTAGAGATCATTCATTTTATAGAATGCCTCTTTTTATGGAATAAAACGGACAAAAATTTTATTTGCGATTTACTCTTTTAAACCATCTTGTAATCAATTTTAACGATTACCCAATTGTTAAGTGTCACCGTGCGCATACAAAAAGTTCTCAAACGTGTCAATAGCTGATACTTCCAGACTTCTTCCATACTTCTGGTTTTTCCGTGATTTTCTAATTAGCTAGTTGTAGAACACACTGTACAACCGAACAAATACTTTTGATTTCAGAGTACTTTCTTCAAATTTAAATCAAATATAAAGTGAACAATTACTTCTGATTTTGATACTTTCTTCAAATGAAAATATTCTTTGTATTTGGAAACATTTTTGGAGGAGAGAAAGTTGTTAACATTTCTTGGAGGTTTCTTGAACGAGGTTTATTAATAACTTTTGAATGCTTTTTTGGAGGATATTCAATTTCCACAAACGTGTAACAAACGTATCAAAAAAATATATTCCCTAGAATGTCTCCAGAAATGCTCAATTAAGTTCGTGAATTCGGTGAAAGTAAAAGAATTTGTCAAAAGCATTGTAGCAACTTGCATTTGTTTATTTTCTCAATCTACAAACTTTTGACAATATAAAAGTTAAACATAGGAAACCATCTTAATGTTAAAGCATGTAGTAACTCTTTTATAAATATAAAAATATCAGAGGTATGCGGGTACCCGAAACTACGGGATCGGGTTGATATCCGAACAAACTTTCGAGATTCTGCTCGACCTGACCCGGGTCTCGGATACCCGCGCACCCTAAAAAGATACTGTATAATTACAGTGTACTTGTAAATTTAGTGTCTCTATGGTCATTTTAAGCGTTTCTTTTACCATTTGTCATGTACGAAGAAAAACAAGAATGCAGTTCATAGACTAATTCATCAGCGAAATTAAATAAGCTAGTAATAATTTTAGTTAAGTATTCGTACAGTGCTTCGTTCGTTTTCAGAGGGGCAGACCTCGCCACGGCACATTCTTTAAGATTCGCCTTGCAATACTTCCACAAGAACGTAACAGCATCAGACAATTTGCAGGATCTGAGCTAATTTGCACCATTTTTATGACAATTTCAAAAATCATCTTAAGATTTGACATAGGATAGACGAGTTTTTTATTGTATGGTGATGACGTTGGCTGTGAAATAGATATCACGCCATTGGTTAACAATTCTTGTGCTACTGCAAAAGGATCTATCAAAGTGATGCCTCTGGACGTTCCTATAAGTTTACCAGCGACCTTGGCATATATTAGAGAATTGCTGAAAAATAGAACATGCAAACTGAACAACATCGCATTAAAAATGTTAATCTCCTTTTTCGTCTGGTATTGATCAATTAAACGATATCCTTCATAAGCTATGCCAAGGCTGCTGATGGAGAGATTACTTATCAGCAGTGAATTGTAGGCTATTTTGGCTACATTACTAATAGAAGACCCGTTGGCGATAGCTTTTGATAGAAGTATGGTTCCACAATTTATACCAACACTTAAAGCCAAGCTGGCTATTCTAAAATATGCTGCCAAAGCATTGTCATTAATAGGACTTATAGATTCTTTGTGCTGACTCAGATCTACTAATCTGTCTACACTTCGTCCAATGGTCCACCCTCCACTCATAGCGCGGCTATCTAAATCTGTAGTTGTGACAGGACTACAGGCAGGTGACTTTAGCATTTGATAGGTTTCATCTTGTGGTAGAACCATCATGCGTATTGGTAATGTATTATTCTCCAAATAATCTGTCCAAAACTCCTTGATTCGTTAAGATTAAATATTACATTATATATCAGTCCAACGTAAATGTAATTTTCTCATATATCTTATTAATAATTCCTTGTATCTCTTTATCGTGTTCTTGAAATGTTGATATATCTGCATAATCGTTAGTTATTTTCTTATATTTGTCAAAATCGTGAGGATCACATAGCGCAAATTCAACTCTTTGTCGTATATGACGATGATCTTCGTAATTGTATAGAAACCAGTCAGGAAGAAGTTCATAAAAAAGTTGATGATATTTCACTGCTAATTCTTTATCTATATTAAAATATATTAAGATTTTGATATATTCAGTTAGAAAATGAAGATGAACAAAATGTATACCTTCTTAAAAGCCGTCGTTTTATATGATATCTTCACTGCAATGAAAATAGAATAGATTCTTGATCTATTGATCTGAACGATTGTAGTCCGAACTCGGGATCGGCCGCGGGGTAGTTACGCGGGGTAGTGGACTTCTATGAATTCGCCTGAGCAAGGAAATGGGATGAATGGCAAGTGAGATATAATAGCTGAAATATGCTACAAATACAATTCGACATGCTCGTCGAAGTTGTTTGATCCTCAAAGATGGGGGGGGGGGAGGAATAAC